CGGATTCAACTAGTCTAGGGGCAGCACAGAAGTCATTCCCTGCCTCCTCAGCTCTGTAGTCATGCCCTCCTAATTTAGAAACAAGTCTGATAATAACTGGGCATCTTTTGGCTTTAGGACTCTCAGTGGAGCCCTTAGCCTCCTGATGTACTAAAGTTTTATGATCTTGATTATTACCTTCATTTCAGAAGCTTTGGGTATGACTTTGAACCCTGGGCATTTGCCCTTTCTTTTCCATGGAATATCTTTTTCAATGAGATAATTCATTGATAGGGAAACCCTGGAATTCTGAGTCCCAGCCAAATCTTTATGGAGGTTTAAGTTACTTGTTTTGAAAGCAGGTGCAAGGAAGTGTGACCCTAAAAGACATCAAAGAACAAAGACGCTTTCTTTGTCCTGATGGGCATATGAGGCCTGGAGATGAAGGTGTTCTGGTTAACAAGGGTCCACTCTCTGCTGTATTTATTAAGCATAATACTCCACTTCCTAGCCCTTGAATAACACTCTCCATTTATAATGGGAACGGACGCTTTTCCCAGCAAGCTGTGTGCTCCAGAGATAACCTGTTACCATCTCTCTCTAATCCATTTGGTGTTGGCTCAAATGTATTCTCCTGGGCACTTGATAGCTGGTTTTACTTGGCAAAGAGACTTGAAAATATTTCCTTTTCACTCTAAAAATTGCTTGTCCCCGAAGAGAAGGGAAATTGAATGGTATGTGTTGTAGTTAAGTTTACATGTCAGCTTGGCTAGGCCTGGTATTGAGTGGCTGGGCGGCTGGATGTGGTGATTCCCCATGATAAGACTGGTAGTCACCTCTATAGTGGAATCTGCTGTGAGCAGCTGAGTAGCTGCCTTACGGATGTGGTCTGCTTCCAGTATATAAGAAGAAGTTTTGAGAAAGGTCTCCACGATTTTTGGCATGCTTGGACCCTGCATGTAGCCGACTCTTCATCCATCAGCTTGCAATGTTGCCTGTGCCTATCTTGGGACTGTTTCAGGAACTGAACTAGGGCCTGCTGTGTTGCTTGATAATCTTGAGACCGTGCCATTTTACTTGTTGACCTTGGGTTTGTCAGCCTCAGCAGTCAGCAGCTGCCTGAGTTAAGAGAAGGCTCTATCTCCGTTGGGCCAGGAGCAAGAGGCAGAGATGAAACCCAAGGTTAAGGGGCCTTTATCCAGCCCCTTGAGCTGGCACTTTGAACTGGACTTCTAGCCTTCTGAACTGTAAGAGAATAAATCCGTACTTGTTAAAGTCACCCATTTGTGGTATTTTTCTTTTAAAGCAGCACTAGAGAACCAAAACAGTACCCAAAACAGCTCATACTTATGTTTTTCTGAATATCTTTAAAGGGTGATTGGTGCTTCAGATAGAATTGACCTCTTAGTTTATAAAGATAAATGCTTTTTTTTTGGCTTTATTAGAAGGTGCATTCAGATCAGCTATTCATAATCCCAGTGAACAAAACACTGGCCCCTCAAACTACCCCCTCTGATTTATGAGATCTTGTGACTGTGGGCACATAGGAGAGTGTAAAATGGTGGGAAAGCCAAGGCTTAATGACATGATGGGATATTTGTCTCAGACTCCCGAGGATCTCAGAAACCAAAAAACAAACCCACTGCTGTCGAGTCAATTCCAACTCATAGTGATCCCCATTGAGTTTCTGAGACACTAAACTTTACAGAAGGAGATTGCCTCTATCTTTCCTCCACAGAGCAGCTGGTGGGTTTGAACAGCCAACCTTCTGGTTTGCACTCAAATGCCTTAGGCACTGCACCACCAAAACTCCTAAGGCCTCAGAAGTAGGCCTTAAACATCAGCCAGCCTTCACCCCAGGGACAAAACATGTGGAGGCCTCAGGCCAGGTGTTTATCAGGGAAGAGAGTTGGCTATGCTAATATTTTAACTAAGTAGTGGCAGTTACTAATCAACTCTTCCAGGTTAAGGGTCCTTTTGGGAAAATATTTTACTTATGAAAACATTCACAATTGGGTGGCAGTAGCCTGTGAGACGTTATAGACTCAAACTAAACCAAACCCGCTGCCGTTGAGTTGATTGTGACTCATAGCAACCCTACAGGATGGAGTAGAACTGCCCTATAGGTGTCCAAGGCTGTAAATCTTTACAGAAGTAGACTGCCACATCTTTCTTCTGTGGAGTGGCTGGTGGGTTTGAATTGCCAACTTATTGTCTTTTTTTTTTTGATTAGCAGCCAAGAGCTTAACTACTGTGCCACCAGGGCTCCTCAATGTTATAGACAATCTCATTAATTCAGATGTATTAATATTTCATTCATGAAGCATGGGTGATGAGAGGACATGGGGTAGATGTGTGAAAACAGAACATTCCTTTGTCAGGACTCAGGGAACTCACGGTGCTGATATATGTATTGATTTCTTAGGGCTGCCAAAGGATTTCCTAGGGTAACATAAAGTAGTGTCTTTAAACAACAGAAACTCACTGTTTCACAGTTCTGGAGGCTAATAGTTTGAAATCAGATTGTCTGCAGGGCCATGTTCTCTCTGAAGTCTTTAGGGAAAGATCCTTTCTTGTCTCTCTCAGCTTCTGAAGACCCCACATGTTCCTTGGCTTGCAAATGCATCTTCACACAGTAGTCCTTCCTCTGTCCGTCTCTCTGTGTCTCTTCCCTTTTATAAGGACACCACTCAGATTGGATCAGGACCCACCTTACTCCAGTATGATCTCATGTTAATTTAACTGACAACATCTGCAAAAACTCTATTTCCAAACAAGGTCACTTTCACAGGCACCAGAGGTTAGATTGAAACATCTTTTGTGGAGAAGGGACATATAACAAGAGGGATGGGAAAGAGATTTTGACAGTGCCCACACATTCACGTTTAAAAATGTAAACCTCACGGCAACCTTGTGTGTTTGGAGTTAGCCTCTCTGAGCCTTGACTTCCACATCTGTAAAATGGGAATGGAAGGAGCTCTAGTAGCAAAGTGGTAAAGCACTCAGCTACTAACTGAAAGGTTAGCAATTCAAACCCACGAATTTGCTCCATGAGAGAAAAGACCTGGCAGTCTGCTTGCCTAAAAATTACAGTCTTGGAAACCTTGTGGGGGCAGTTCTACTCTGTTCTATAGGGTCTTTATGAGTCAGAATTGACTTGACTGGCACCCAACAACAACAAAATGGGAAACTGCCATCAATGAAGGCTGCATAGTTTGTAAGTGACCAGACAAGCTCCATGTCTTATGGATATTTAGCTCTCATCTACTCTTCAAAGCTTGTGTTTTTGACCTAGGGAGGGGCTTGTACCAGGCACAGTGATAAGGAACAAGTTGAGTTGAGGGACTCCTCGGCCTTTCTTGACTCCTCATCCCCTTTTAGACACCTTATCTTGGATCTTCATTTTTCTCACACTCTTTCTCTCAAATATGATCCTAATTCTTAATAAGGTATCATCAGAAAGTGTCAGAAGTTGAACAAGTTCATGTTCCAGCAACACCAGATTGGGAACTAAAAAAGGATGTTGCCAAACATGAAGAATACGCTTGAGATGAGAGTGCAAATGGTTACCTTATGCCAGAGTGAGATCAAAAACAATCCCCAAGCTCCCTATAAAAATAGCAATAATAATTTGGAAACATACATAAGTGCATGTGGATTAAATTGTGATTTGTCATCTGCTTATCTACAGAGCGCTGAAATTGCTCACTAATGAAGTGGTTTACTTTGGTATGGATAAAAAAACCCAGTCTTGTTGTCTCATAGTCCTGGATTTAAAATACTCTTTTCCTACTTCCTGGTTTTGTGGTTTTGGGCAGATGATTTAACTTTTCAGAACTTCAGTTTCCTTGTTTGCTAAATGGGAATAATGATACCTAGATTTTAGAGTTGTGGTAAGAAAGGGATTAGGCAATATGTGTGAAGCTCTCACCATAGTGCCTGACACACAATATTCAATCAATGACTGTTGTTGGCACTGTTGAGTCAGCCCTGACACATAGTGACCCCATGTACCACAGAACAAAATGCTGCCTTGTCCTGTACCATTCCATAACTGATCAGACAATGTTCTGTTGTGAACGATAGGATTTTGATTGGCTAATTTTTGGAAGTAGATTGCCAGGCCATTCTTCCTAGTCTTAGTCTGCAAACTCTGCTGAAACCTGTTCAGCATCATAGCAATATGCAAGTCTCCATTGACAGATGGGTGGCTGTGCATGAGATGCATCGGCCAGGAATCAAACCTGCTGCATGGCATGGGAGCTGAGAGTCTACCATTGAACCACCGCTTCCAACTCTCTAATAAATGGTTGGCAGCATTGTTGTTAATGGAACAAATAAGGGAAGAAATACATTTGGAATTAGAAGTAATGAAACCCCATTTCTTGAAATATACTCGTCAGCTCAGATGGTTTCCTTGGTTTGGCAGTTCTCTCTCTCTTTTTCTCCCTGCCTCACTCTGGGTCTTTCTCGCTCTCTCTCTCTCTTCCTCTTTCTCTCTCATGATCTTTATCTTCCAAGGTGAAAGCCAATCAAATGTACAAACATTAGTTTATAGCTTGATGTAACTCTAATGAGTTTTCTGGAAAAACTAAGATTTTCCCCCAATTTTCTAGGAAGAAACTGACAACAAAGAAATAAACCAAGATTCCCCAAGATTCAGGATGCCCATTGTAGAAACCACAGACACACCTGTGTCTCTCAACTTTTCGTTGGTGGGTGCCTAAGAGATGATAAAATTTGTCTCCTCTATTCCTAAAGTCCCTTAGCAACAAGGCTTGTCTTTGGATTTTTAATCAGAAAAGGTACCACCAGATCCATAGGATGCATCTCAGTTAAAGTAGTTAGTCTGAAGTTAAAAAAAAAAAAATCTATTGACTCTCATGATCTTCTTTCAGCAAAACTCTTTTATGCAGAAAAGTGAAGGTGTCTTCAGGGCACAAAGCATAGGAGGATCCAGATTTTAAGTTCTGAATCCCATAATGATTTCTTTAATTTTTTTCCCCTTTTGTGTCTTTCAGGTACTCTCCCCTGGGTATCGCCTGCCTAATTTGTGGGAAGATCATTGCGATCAAGGACTTAGAGGTGGTTGCTAGGCAACTGGGGATGTATATGATAACGGTGATTGTGGGCCTCATCATCCATGGAGGCGTCTTTCTCCCCTTGATTTACTTTCTAGTGACCAGGAAAAACCCTTTCTCCTTCTTTGCTGGCATTTTCCAAGCTTGGATCACTGCCCTGGGTACTGCTTCCAGGTAGAGAAACAAGAAATTACCTTTTTTATTTCTCCCCACTAACTCCTTTATCCCCTTTCTCAAGAACTTTCTATTGTATTTCCACTGTAGCAGGACACCAGCAAAAAATGGTCATCATTAGGGTCAGAAGTTCCTAGAAGGAACCAAAAATGCAAAGAGTTTACCTTTTCAAAAAGATGTTTAAAAAAAATGTGTAAAAAGTATTCCCGTTGAACTTTGAGAAATCAGTGTGGTCTTAATCTTTGGTTAAAATGTGGCTTTTGCCTGGATGTGAAATTTCTTCTTTTAGAAAGTCAATGTGGTATGAGTCACGTACCAAGAATTAACTGAGTTTCTCTCGTCATTATGGTCACAGTGAAACAACTCAGAGCCCAGAAACAGCCAGATAAATATTCTTTCTGCTTCCTTAGCCCTTGGCCTGGATGGCAATGTCAGAAATCATTGACTGGCTTTTCTCAATGGACACAGAAGGTGGTGTCAGGATGGACAGATGGAGGGAGGATGGCCTGGGACAGACTTCTCTGCATCCCTCCAACTGTAGTGCATTCTGTTGAAATTAATTTGGAAAAAAAAAAAAAGAAAATGTCAAGTATCTGGCAGTTATTATTAGTCATATTTGAAGATTGTCATATAACCATAGAGACAGGAGGCAAAAACCCCCCAAAACCATGTCAGCATGTCAACACAGGAAAGAGTTAAAATTCTCAATTCTCGAGTTTCAGATTGGATTAATTGAGTATATATGGATTTTAAAGACACAAATAAAGCCTATCCAGTAGGGTAATAGAGGATATTTTCACACTTAACCAATTATTTTTCTCAATCCATTTAATTATCTAAAGACCCTTTGTTGGCATTTTGGAAAAATGAATGCAATATGAAAAACTAATGTGTTCTAGTGATCCTAGAAGTATCCTTAGATTCATAGGATTGAGAATCGTGGCCTCCAACCACAGCTGTGCAGCCATTTCAGACCCGGCACGGGGCCCTGGAAACCGTTGAAAAGGGCCTCAGAAAAGGGGGTGGTGAGAGGAATAAAGGAAGACTAACATCTTGTTAAAGCAGCTGGGGCAGCCAGCCAGGTAGGGTCATCTCACCCGTGTGCTAATGAGTCCAGATTCCAAGTTTTCTCCCTGACTCTAGAAGGTTTAGTAATAAGGCCAATATCTGGGTTGTGCAAATGGTTAAGCACTTAGCTACTAACCAAAAGGTTGGAGCTTTGGAATCAAGTCAACAGCAGCTGGTTTTGGTATTAGTAAGGTATTCCCAACCATTTATTTCTTCACCCTACTCAAGACCAAGGAGGAGGCATGAGACAGATACATGACCTGAAAGAATGTTCCAGTCAGATGACTCTGGCTCCCCTAAAGTGGTTATTAGGAGCTTGAGAATCAGTGGTTCTCAATCTTTGGTGGTTTGATAAAATACATATTTGAGCAACCCTCATTTTAGAGCTTCTGATTTCTTGGTTCTGAGTAGACCCCAGAATCTGCATTTCATTTTGCTTTAGTACTCTCCCACTCTCTGAGGAAACAAAACCACTTATAGTTGTCTATGTCCTGCTCTGCTGGTTCCCAAATTCTGACTAGTAAAAGAGAACTAGGACTAAGGTGATAAGTGCAGGAGAGAACACCTCCAATTGCTGTCCAACTGGGAAACTTCCAAAACTTTGCTTTTTTAAAAAAAAAAAAAAGAAAAAGAAAACAAAAGAGGATAGACCACAGAGCTCTCCTGTGTCAGTTTTAGTCTCCAGCATTGCTTTTCACATTATTGAAGCTTGGAAGAGAATTCATCCACCTTCCCATGCACCTCTGTCCATATGGAAATAATATCCTGGCCTTCGGCAACCCTTATCCCTTACAGATCTCCAATTTTAGAAGACTTGTGATTATCTCAGGAGTCCTGGCTTTTGAGGCTGGGTCATGCTCCCAGGCTGGGAGGAGTGGGGGTGAAGTCACACCATAGTGTGTCTGATTAGTTACAGTGCACATGCTTTTCTGCCTGCCCTATGTCATTGGAAAGACTCGTGAGCTGGCAGATGCCCGTTTATCAGGGAGCTGGACTGTCTGTGAGGTTCCCCAGTGAATTGCTAGAAGCTCAGGTTTGTGCTGAATGGTGCTTGCCATGTTAGTCCAGCCTTCTCAGAATCAGCAGGCCCCGTTCAGGGCAATTTCCCGAGCTGGACACAATCCAGACAGTCATCTGGTTGCAAAGAGCATTTCTAGCATGAAATTATGGGGCATTCAAAAATTTCTGATTCCATCTCCCTGTTAACAGCTTATTCTTTTATGACACCCTTTTTTTTTTTTGGAGCCCAATTAATGTGAGTAATTAGATGTGCTTCAATATTTAGTCCAAGATGGCAATTGTAAGCAAAAGGGAAAATACCCAAAACTTGAAGCTCTAAGTAGCTCCCAAAAACCTGAACCAACAAAAATATTTTGCTGCCTATTAGCATCTTAAAAAGATTGAGTTTGCACCTTCAATTTGCTGACTTTTAAGTTGGCTCCAGAAACTGCTTTTTTGCATGTCACTTTGCTTGGTTGTGAAAAAGAATGAAACTTGTGGTAGCATTCCAGTTGTACTTTGTCCTCCTTCTCTAAAATGGATCTAACTTAGGCTTCTCTCTTGCTCTCATTGTCTCTTAGTGCTGGAACTTTGCCGGTTACCTTTCGTTGCCTGGAAGAAAATCTGGGGATTGATAAGCGTGTGACCAGGTTTGTCCTCCCCGTGGGAGCAACCATTAACATGGATGGTACAGCCCTTTATGAAGCGGTGGCAGCCATCTTTATAGCCCAAATGAATGGCGTTGTCCTGGACGGAGGTCAGATTGTGACTGTGAGGTGAGTGAAGTGGGTGGAGTAAGTCACTGAAACAGCATTCCACCTTGGTCCCCCTCCACATTAACTCCATTTGCTACTTGAAGTTCAGTTCTCCTGGTGGAAGAATGTTGAAGGAAATAACAGAAGAGGAATTACTGGCAGGCTCAAAGGGAAAGATTGTGACAGGCAAGAGGCAGACGAATACTCATGCCTTCTGGTTTGTATTTCACATGTGAAATCGCTTTAGCATTTTGAGATTTGAATTTTCATCAGTCCCGTTATGTAGGCAAGTCACTGGGAGTACAGTTAATGCACTCAACCACTAACTGAAAGTGGGGCTTTGAATCCACCTAGAGGTGCCTTGGAAGAAAAGCCTGGTAAGATACTTCTGAAAAATCAACCATTGAAAACCCTGTGGAGCATAGTTGTGCTCCAACACATATGTCACACAGGAGATTGTCATGAGTCAGAATCAACTTGATCAACTTGATGGCAACTGGCTTTTAGTATGTAGGCTGGGCCATTATCTCTACACCCATTTAACAGATGGGGGAACTCAAGCTCCCAAAGTCACAGTCATTTGTCCAAAGCCACACTGCTAGCAGTGAGCTGGCAGGGCTGTAACTGAGCTCTTATTAGCTGACTCTGGGTGCAGTGTTTGTCTCCTTACAATATGCTCCCTTCAGCATTCCAGGGGGTGATGGCAGAAATGGTGAAATGCTGCCAAGAAGAAATTACTGAATTCGACACATAACATTTTGTTGCAAGCAAAAAACACATATTTTTGTTTACACTAAAGCTGTTTTTACTATATGGTTTCATCATTTAAAAAAAAAAATCAGAATATTTTTCCCAAGAGATCATTAAAAATACATCACTTGTACATAAATTTAAAGATCTCACCTACTGGTCAGTCCAACTCTTCAACTTCTTGTTTATAGGGAGGGTCCCTGAAAACATCAGTCTTCAGATCAATCACGGTTGCCTTGACACTACAGCATAGAATGAAATGCTTTGTAATCATCATTTTAATGTCATCACTTCCACTCCAAGTGGGAGATTCAATTAAGCCAAAACATCTGGCTTCAATTAAGGAAAAAAAGCAATGAGCTAGCTATATAGTTGTATTCCTGTCTTATCACTACCACTCTACATCTTGATTTTCTCATCAGTAAAAGAGGAATGGAGATTGCACCTATACATTGGCAGTTCATGGACTGACTGCAGCCCGGAGTCTTGCTTCGCTTGAAATATACTGTAAAATTGAAGTTTCAATATCTCATAAGGCATGTGCTCTCCACTTCACCACAGTCCCCACTGCTCCCTATTACTTTCACTTGACTTACTTCACCCACCACCACTTCTTGGCCCTTTAGACAGTTGAGTTTGTGGACCTTGGACTCTATGATTTATGTGTCCCATGTTCTCTTGGAAGGAGCTCTGGTGGTGCTGTGGTTAAGGCATTCAGTTGCGAACCACAAGGTCGGTGGTTCAGTCCCACCAGCCACTCTATGGGAGAAAGATGAGGCAGTCTGCTTCCATAAAGATTTACAGCCTTGGAAACTCTATGGGGCAGTTCCATGCTGTCCTATAAGGTAGCTTATGAGTCAGAATCATCTTCATAGCAGTAGGTTTGGTTTTGGGATTTTATCTTTTCTTAGATTCTATGAGATCAATAAATATAGGGGCCAAGTAGGTCACATTCTCCATAACAAAAGAGAATTCTAAAGAACTGAAAAGCCAAGATCCAGATGATTCATTTCAGGAAATGAATTAATTATGTAGATGCTAAAACACACAGGCTCTATAAAGGTAGTAGCTCTTTGGGGAACTCTGAAATTGTAGGCTCTTTACATACTTTGCCTCTAACTTGTCAAATAATACTGTGGACAAGGAATTGTCATCATCCCCATTTTACAGTGGATTAAAGTAGGAGTTCTGGTGGCATATTGCCTAAGGCATTTGACTGCTCACCAGAAGACTGATGGTTCAAACCCACCGGCTACTCCTCAGAAGGAAGATTGGGCAGTGTACTTCCATAGAGATAATGCCTCAGAAACCCAAGAAGGGGTCACTATGAGTCAGAAATGATTTGATGTCAGTGAGTTAAAGTGAGGCTCAGAGAAGTTATCTAACAAACCCAGTGCATCATAGTTATGGGCACCAAAGCCAGAAGTCCAATCTTATTCACAGCCAACTTCTTTCAACTATACCATATCATCTCTACTTTCCAATTGTGACCCAAAAGAAGACACTAGAAGAGTGTTTTTATTTTTTTCCTTTGGGTGTTAACAGTGTTTAGTGTCCTTTGGGTACAGTTTAAGGCACTATTCTCTTTTACCCATACTTTAAACTTTAGAATATAAGGTAAACCTTTATATTAAAAATTTGGGCAACAATGTGACATCTCATTGGCCCATAGTATTCAGCAGTTCATTCTCAGGGAGACCTTTAGTGGTCCAAGGACCATTTCTAAGACATTTCTCCTAAGAGAAAGCGTTCATTTGAATCTGATTTATCTACAATTACTTTTTTAGAAGTTTAAGCTCAGAGACTGACCAGTGTCTCTAGTAATGTTGGGAAATAGTCAACTAGTCCTGTCCTTTACCATGTTCCAGGGGTTGATGTTGATGTAGTTCTGAGATACTTAACCAGCTTAGGCACATTTGTATTTAAACACAGATTTCTCCCTTCTTCTTATAACCATTCCAAAAAGCTTAGTTAATACTCCATATGCACTTGAGCTCACTTCAGCACAATGTCAGCAAAGAATGAAAAGAAAAATATGATGTTTTACACATAAGCACACACACACAAACTATGAAAACATCAGTAATAACCACATTTATTTAATGTCTATAACATTATCTAAACATATTCCTAGAGGCTCTCTTATCTAATCTAATAGAGAGGAAGCTGAGGCCATGGAATGGTTCATACACAGCCATCTAGGGGAACACCTAAGATATAGGTTTCTAAATGCTGATAACATGTGTCCATTTATTGAGGATCTTAACTTGCCGTCCTAAAAACAACCTCCAAAGTAGGTATTAGGTTCTGTATTTTACAGATGGTGAACATAAAATGAAGCACAGAAAGGTAAAGTAACTTGCCCAAGAGCACACTGTAAGTGGTCAAACTGGGATTTGAGCATAAGCTACCTAACAATGTGGTTCTGTGCTTTTAACCATTATGCACACTACCTCCACTATTCTATGCTATTGAGTTGTGTATATTAATTTATCTAAACCTCCAACCACCCTGTGAAGGATGTACCATAGTGGAGTCTCAGTTTTCTCATCTGTATAATGGAAACAAGAATCATCCCTACCTTCTAGGGTGGAGTGCAGAGTAAATGGATTAGTACATAAATGATTTAATACTTAGCATTGTGCCTGGCACATAGTCTTTTATCAATACATGTTACCTAGTCTTCTTATTATTATTATTCGTACTCAGAAAAATGCAACAATACTCCTAGGATATAAAAGAAAAAGGAGGCTTGAGTGATATTATTGGCAGTGGGAAACATGCTTCATTCAGGTTGGATTATCAGGTCTTCTAAATCATGCCCTAGTGGACTTCTTGTGAGAATGCAGCTTCCTTACTTTAAAACCCAAAGACCAAAAGGCTTCTTAATGATGCTCATTGCTAAGCAATGGCTCTGAGTAGGGAAGGATCAAGGACATCAAGAGCCAGCATGGTGTTGGAGTCAGGCAGAGAAGGGTCCCAATCCTAGCAGACCATGTCCAAGCCGTATGACTCAAGTTTTTCCACTGTTCTAAGCCTTGGTTTCCTCATGGGTACAGTGGATATTATCATATATATCTCACAGTGTATACTAGCTTACATAGTTCCCAGGGAGCAACCCTAAAGAATTGAGGGGCAGAGGCAAGTGTAAGGACAGAAAAAGCACAAAGGGATGAAAGGGTAGAGGTGAAATCATTGCCCAAGGAGAAGCTGGCCTTCAAATTACTCAGATGGATACTCCAGCCATAGAGCAGAGGGAGAACCAACTTTTGCCCTAGAAGCTGCCTTTATAGGATTTTATCTCACACACCAAAAGGTAGCTGAATAACAGGCAAAAAGCAAAAGGAAATAAGAGTGACTCACAGAAGCAAGTGGTATTATAAATGCAATGCCAGAGGTTGAGATCATTGGAACTTGGGAAGTTCCCCTTCCCTCGTGTTCTATCCCTGTCAAGAAAGTGCTGAGAATTTCCATCTTCCAGCTGTTGGAGCCCTGGGGAAGTTTTTGTTGCAAAAGAGCCATGCCCTACCCAGGTCTCCAGAAAGAAAACACAATTGAGTTTTCTTCCAAGTGTTTCTTCCACTTGGACCTCTTCCAAGTGCTTTTTATTTATGAACACCTGAAGCTTCCAAACACCCAGTGAGTTAGACTCCATTATTATTTCCTTCATACAGTTGAGAAAATTGAGGCAGCCAATGAGAGGTTAAATTGTCTAAAGTCATATGGTTAATAAGTGACAGAGCTGGGATTTGAACCCAGGTAGTTCAACTCCAGAGCCTACCACTACCTACTACTATCTCCTGTGCCCCAGATGGGTTCAAAGAAAACCAAGATCTCCAAACCCTGAAACCAGCTCCACCTTGGTGGGATGAAAGCGAGCATAGACAGGTTCTATAGACCACACCTAGGGGAAGTGTCTATGTGACAGGCCTAAATCTGGGAAGGATGACGATATGGGAAAACAGCACTCCATTTGCATTAGCCAGCAACTCTTTAAGTGACAAGGACAAACCAAACCATAAAACCTTGCAGCGCCTGTTTCCTCATATGTAAAGTAAGGGAGGATTATATCTCTTTCAGCCCTTACTATTTTTAGCTGCCATCAAGTTGGCTCCTGACTCATGGTGACCCCATGGACAACAACAGAATGAAATGCTGCCTGGTCCCCATGATCATTGTGAGTCAGACCACCATGATCCATAGAGTTTTCATTGGCTGATTTTATGAAGACTAGGCCTTTCAGAAAATTATAGCCCTAAAGACCCCAAATTCTGTGTTTGGTAACACCAATAGACTGGACCTGGTTAAACCAGTTTAAAGGACTGGTTTTCAGTTTGGAGCCTAAATACTCTCCAATTCTAGAATTTTATAACTGCAAAGAGAGTAGTCTTCTTTTTCTTTTCAGCACCACAAAATGCTAGTTAGGAATCAATATTTTCAGAAGGTTGCTTCCATTTTAAAATGACAGCTTTTATAAATGGCATCCAGAAGAGAAGAATAGTCCCTGCCCTTTGCTGGACCACAGAGACCCCCTGGTGTCTGGAGGGCATTTGAACCTTGAGTTTCTCTTCTCCCAGACACAAACTTCAAAATGGTGCTGGATGTGCCCTTGGCATTGTTGGGAAAGAAAATTATAAGATGCTTCAGAGAGAAAGCCTCCCTTTATTTCATTATCATTTCTTGGCACCCACTCCTTGAATAATGTGTTTTCCAGCTCATGGTGAAACATCCAGGCGTCTAAAGCTTAATGTTGTTTGGGATCTTTTGATTTGTTCCCCTGATGTCCACTCAATTGAGTCTGGGTATTTGCTGAGTTCTTGTGTTAACATTGGCAATGGTCTCCTCAGACTCTTGCCATGCTGTCCAAACATCTCTTGTGCTCCCTGAGACTTAAAGGCATAAGCAGAAATGAATGCAGTTATGTTCCCATGGAAGGGTTAAGGGTGATTTGTTTTTCTCTGTTAAAATTTCCTTGCCCACTGTTAGAGCCACACTTAAATGATTTGAGCTCTGTGACCCATTAGACTAATTGGAGACCATGATGGGGATAAGTCTCTGATCCATGAATGTATAAACATCCATCATAGCTGAGCAGAATCCCAATAGGCTTGAATTCCCGGGTCTTGGTACTCTAGATTTCTCTATTCCCTGGGGGAAAAGGCATTTTATGACTGCCTGGAAAATTATGGCTTAAAACTCTCGGGGATGGTTTCGACATGGCCTCTTTCTCTTCCCATGACCTGACCTTCTCTGTCCTCACAGCCTCACAGCCACCCTGGCCAGTGTTGGTGCTGCCAGCATCCCCAGTGCTGGGCTGGTCACCATGCTTCTCATTCTGACTGCTGTGGGCCTGCCAACAGAAGACATCAGCCTGCTGGTAGCTGTGGACTGGCTGCTGTAAGTGTCGGTGGACAGGGTTCTTCCGGAAAGTGTGTACTGCCTCCCAAGGGTGGCAGGATGCTTGGAATCCCAATGGCAGCTGTCTCCTTCTTCACTCCCTCTCTCCATCACTTAATTGAGTGCCTAGTCAGAAATCAGAGAAGGCAACCCTGGCTGCTTTTTCCAGTTAAGGGCATATTCCTGGTGTAGGAGACTCACTGCCCATTCACAAAGGTGGGCAAATCTAGCCAGATGGTCCCAAGGAGGAGATTGGAATCCATCCTCTCTTCAAGTCCATCTGGGCTCTGATGTCTGTGACATGTACTCAGATGCCTCCTGAATAGGCTTGGAGCTAAATGTCAGGGGATGGGAGGATGCTATCAGCTTCAACATCAGAGGTTCATGTGACAAGGGCTGGTATCCAGGTCCCAAGGCCAAACTACACACACTTATTTTTGAAAGTGCCTCATATGTCAATGGCAATTTTTCTGACATTTATTAACATAGATTTTAAATGCCAGAAGCCACATTTTATGGACTTGAATTTCCACTGTGCTGAAACAACAGTTCCCTCCCTCCACACACCCTCTTCCAAAGAGAGAAAAATGCAAGTAGCTGAAGGGAAGAAGGACATGGGGATAGACTAGAGGGAATCCTGATGTCTCCATAAAACTTACCACTTGTGGGTGCAATGAGTAGGGTTTAGATTTGACATAAGAAGTGTCTGCCTGGACATAATCCATTGAACTCAGAAGGGCTATAGGGAGTTCACGGCTCTTCCTTCCTGGTTCTTTCATCACCAGATAAATGCTCTGGAAATGCCTTTTGTGGGAAGGTGAAGACCAAACGAAATAACCTCATAGGGGCCTATCTGTCTTTGCCTATGTCTTTTAGGTAATGGTGGGGGGAGTCTTTCCGCGCTAGCTTTGATGTTCTCTGTGCCCTGTATTGGCTCCAAGGGGCAGCTTGCATTATGAAATCTATTCAGACAAGACATGCATGGGGGTAGCTGGGATCAGATTGTGGTGTATGGGTGGGAGGATTGGACGGAGTGGAATGAAGGAGGATAGTGAGTGGAGTAGGATTTGGATAGGAAAGAGAACAAAGGGAGAAGACATTGGGAATGTCATAGTAGGTCAATACATGCAACCACAAAGGTGCAGTGTGTAACCAGGTTACTTTCCACTCAACAAAACAGAGAAAGTTACTCAAATTCCATTTGTCTCTGCTGTAATTTGTTGCTTACTTATTCTTCCTTTCTCTCTCTCTCTCTCTCTCTCTCTCTCTCTCTCTCTCACTCTCACTTGCTCGCTTGCTTATGCACTCTCTCTTGCTCTCACTCTCATTCTCTCTTCCTCTTTGCAATTATCACCACTATTTTTTCCCAAAAATTTTATCACCCCAAACAGAAGCTCTGTTCCCATTAAGTGGTAACTCCCCGTCCTTCCTGCCCCCAACCTCTGGAAACTCCTAATAAACTTTTGTATCCATGCCTTGCTTATTCTAGATATTTCCTATAAGTGAGACCATACAGTATTTATCCTTTTGTGTCTGACTTATTTCACTTAACATAATGTTTTCAAGTCTCATCCATGTGGTAGCATCTGTACTGGAACTTCGTTTCTCTTTATGGCTGAGTAATATTCCATTGTATGTGTATATGATGTCAGGCTGTTTCTATCTTTTGGCCTCATTGTTCCTTGAACTTTCTCTACTGGTGTTGTTATTGAGGGTCCCAATGCAGCTACATTGCCTAGTCTCTTCTTGGGCTTTTTTCTAAGGCTTGAATTTTACCATCAGAGATTCATTTATTTTTTAAAAAGTATTATTATTAGAATATTGCCCCTACTATAATGCAGACAAGGAGCTCTGGTCATGCAGCTCCTAAGGCATTTGACTACCAACCAGAAGGCTGGTGATTCAAACTCACCAGCCACCTTGTGTAAGGAAGATAGGGCAATCTACTTCTGTAAAGATTTACCACTTTGGAAACCCAATGGGGGTCATTATGAGTTGAAATTGACCTCAGTGGCAGTGGGTTTGGTTTTTTTTTTTTTGGTTTATAATGCAAATGAATTTGTGTAGAACAAGTGCAGAATCTATGGTGGATGAGGAAAAGGAGCTGATATTTGGTAGGTACTGCAATGTGTTTCCCCTGGGTTTCATTTAATCTTTAACAGAGCCCTGTGGCATACACTGTTGTGGATTACTACTACTGAGTTAGTACTGGCTCATGGTGATCCCATGCACAATGGACAGAAACACTGCCTAGTCCTGTGCCATCCCCATGATGGGTTGTAGATCTGACCATTGTGGGCCATAGGGTTTTCACTGGCTGGTTTTTCAAAGTAGATTGCTAGGCCTTTCTTCTTAGTCTGTTTTAGTCTGAAAGTAGCACTGAAACCTGCTCAGCATCATGTTGTTGTTGTTGTTATATGTCGTTGAGTCAGACCTGACTCACAGCGACCCTTCCTTCGGTTTCCGAGGCAGTAACCCTAGGGAAGTAGATTGTCCAACCTTCCTTCTGAGGAGTGGCTGGTGGGTTTGAACTGCTAGCCTTCTGGTTAGAAGTCAAGTGCCTTAGGCACTATTCCACTGACAGATGGGTGGCGGCTCTGCATAAGGTGCATTGGCTGGAACCAAACCCAGTTCTGAGTAGAAAACGAGAGTTCTACCACTGAATCAACACTGCCCCCATGATATATATTACAGATGAGAAAAACAAGAATCTTGTAGACTAAGTCTCTTGTCCAAGGGCACAGCAGAGCTGTTTGGTCAACTGGGGCCCTTCTCCCCAGCCCACATGGGCCCCCAATTACTACCAAGCATTTCTAACAGTGTGGGTGTGGAGCAGAGATCAAGAGTCAGAAAGGTTGGGGAACATAGCCTGTGTGGATCACTGCTGGTTCTACCTACAAAGCAGACAATTTTCACTTGGCCTGAGTATTTTCCCTCCTAGGATTAAAACAAACAAAACAAAAAACCTAAGTGGAGATAAATGAAGTATTGTGAGGGTCTCAACCAATGTTGAAATTCAAGTCTTCCAGCCCCAATAGGTTTGCTATTGTGGGCCGAGGGCTTCTTGGCCATCATTTCCTTTCAAGCCTGATGGATGAGAGGCATTTCTTGAAACACTCAAGACCTTACCTACTTCTGACCCCAATGTTAGGGTATAGAACAGGAAGACTGAGACTGCCCCAGGCACCCCACGCAGGCTCTCACATGCTCACACTAGCCCAGGAGAGCAGAGCATACTAACTCGAGGGTTGAGACATGCCAGCAGAAGGGAGTTGGCTGAACAGAAATAAGATGATACATTTGGATTAACTATTGATGAAGTCATAGATGAGAAAATGCTATCCCAGCCTGGAGCTGGAAAGGAAGGAGCAAATGAAGAGCTCTTCTTTTGGGGCTCTGATCTCAGAAGCAGGGAGGCCATGCGATTGAGGGGAAGAAACAGGGGAGACAGGACCCCTGGGTCTGAACTCTGCACTGCTGTCTATTGAGCAGGTACTTGCTCACTGGGCTTCAGCAGCCTCTTGTGTAAAATGAGATAATAACCTATCAGCTTGCAAGCAGGAGTCTAGTCGAATGCCCTCAAGTGCCCTTCTAGTTTGAAGACCTGGAGTTGGATTCTGCTGGTGATGGATGTTTGCATACAATAAGTGTGAATGATCCTTTTAAGAAGAAAAGCAAAAGGGAGGGAGAGGATCCTGGGAAATTATGCATAGGGGACTGTAGCTAGGTCAGTTCTGCTTTGAATTAGTAATGGTGCCACATTCTCTCTCACCAGCAAGGGGAGTCCTGGGAACAGACTCTTGGTTGTGAGTTCAGTGGCTCTTGGATGCCCATTAGTCTGTGTGTTGGGGGTGCAGGTGGGGATATGTGAAGTGAAGTATAAGGGGAGGCTGGTGGTCCCATCGAAAAGTTACCTGTGGAGGAAAAGTAAAGAAAACTAGAAGGGATAATTTTTGTTTCCTCTTTAAGCAAGGTTTTTAAGTGTTCATAACTCTAGCAATTTTTCAATTTAAAACCAAACAAAGCCTACAGTGACATTTAATGTGCCATGGTATTTGCCAACTGCTGGAGACCAGCCATCCTCATTACTGCCTGCCAAGCCCTGGACACTTTTCAGCCGGCAGGCTTAGCTACTCTGTAAATGTCATGGTGAAACCCCAGATTCTGGGGCCCTGAAAAGGCCCCAAATCCTGGAGCACCGGATGGGCAGGGCTGGTAAGACCTTCCTGTGTCCAAGGAGCTCTTTGTGTCAGGAACCCTTCACAGATGTTTATGAGTTTTCACTGGCACCTCTCTCTTTGTCTCTTTCTGGAAGAGACAGGACGACGGAGTGAAAACTGGGAGCCAACACCAGGGAGAGGTGATAAATACCTGAGTCTGGCCACAGATGGGAAAAGTAAAGCCAAAATAAAGTGAAACTTAAGTGGACCCATGGCCTACTTATAAGACTCTGCTAGTGAGATAGTTTCTAGGAGGCCATTTGCTAATTGGAGGATTTAGTGGACGTGACACTTAGGAAGAAACTGGGTAATGTCCTGTTACTACTGAGTGTTGTTGAGTTGATTCTGACTCATAGTGACCCAGTGTGATAGAGTGGAACGGCCCCATGCAGTTTTCTAGGCTGTAATCTTCGTGGGAGTAAGTTCATGAAGTCTTTCTTCAGCAGAACCTCTGGGTGGGTTTGAACTCCAGCATTTTGGTTAGCAGCCAAGCACTTAACTGTTGCTCCACCAGGGCTCCTTTTTGGATAATGTCCTAGGGTATCACTTTAAAGAGTCCCCACCCCGCTGGTAGGACTCTGAAGCTTCTCTCGTTAGCCTGTTTTCCTGGAGGGAACACAGCAGAGTGCACCAAAATCTGTTGAAGGCTTGTTTAAACAGATTACTAGGCCCACACCCAGAGTTTCTGATTCAGGAGGTATGAGGTGGGGCCCAAGAACCTGTATTTCTAGCGTGTTCCCAGGTGATGGTGTTGATGCAGCCAGGAACTCCACCTCAGGA